TCGTTTCTACTTCTACTTCTCTCTTCTAGAATCTCTCTATCAATTAATTAGTCTGTGACTCTATGCGATTAGATTACTCTTGCAGCGTAGGTTGCAAGGTGTAGCGGAATGCTAGCTTTGCACAGCGGCGCAGGAAGCAGGCGCCACGACAGCGCTGCAGAATGCTTTGGCAAAGTGTGCCGTCGAGCGTCGCAGCTTTTGTACCGAGAAGCTGAACACCTACTTGAAAGTGGGCATTGGCAAGTAGTTGAGCTGCGATGTCATCTCTCTCTCTCTCTCTCTCTCTTTCTTCTCGCGCCCTTAACTAGCATTTTGCACATTATGCCTGCACTCGCGAAGTTGTGCAAAAACATGATGCGCGAGCATCATAAATCCGGGCTCACGGAGCCTACTGGTCTCTGGTGTTATCAGTTGTACGTATTATGTAGGTAATTAATTAATAACTACTAATAATTAAATATATAATAAATGTGTAAGTCAGGGGCCAGGGGTGTCACAGTGTCGGTTTAGGGTTGTGTGGGGGGTGTAGGTTATTTTTAACGGTCAGTCATCAATCCTATCCTATATCGAACAATCGATTTTATCTTTATAGGACCGAAACGCAACTTACCACTGATATGATATGCCGCATGCCTAAGGCAGAGATGGACGATGGTTGATGTTGCTTCGAAGCTGTGGGTATCTCCCGCCACAGCTTTGGATGCAGCAAAGACAGCAGTGTCCACGTTCCCCAAAGACTCACTCAAGTCAGCTTCGGACCAGAAGCTGTTGACCGCGCTGTGTGACAATGGCATGATCGATTCTTGGGTCGGTGTGAAGACCGCCAAAGACAAATTGGATGCCCACCCAGGCCAGTCGGAGTTGCAAGATGATCCGTCCGTGGCGGAGCTGAGCGAGTTCGTGGCGGGCGTCGCGGACATGCTGTGTGAGAATGTCCCAAAGCTCCTGGCGATGTTCCTTGTTCCCATGAATCAGGAAGTGGACATGACTCGGAGCGCAGCGTTCACCAAGGGCATGTGCACGAACTTGTGCAAGCTTTGCAAGGTGTACCAGGCTGGGCACACGAAGCTGCTGGTAATTGGATGTTTGTAGCAGAGCATGAGAGGGGTCAGCCATATCGTGCGTCGACTACCCTTGCTTACATGTGCAGGCTGATGAGTGGAAAAATATTTCAGATGAATTGGTGCAGCAGCTGGGGATGGCCTTGGACGAGGTCAACACCATGCTGGCACGCACCCAGGCAGCCAAGGATGAGTTGTTGCTTGCAAGCTTCGTGGACGCGTGCGTTGCAATCCACCAGTGCGCCAACTCCAAGCATGCCCAAACCATCCGTGACCATGTCGGCTCATGTGCCTGGGGCTGCATCGACACGCATCGGGCGTCTCTGACTTTGGGGATAATTTGCAACAGCAGCTTCAGAGTCCAGTCATAGTCACAATCTGAGTCATAGTCGTGGCGGCTGATAGAGTGATACAGGCAGTGGTTAGCCTTAATGACTATTACTATGACAGATGCATAGTTCGTAATTATTATGGATGATCTGAATACTAATACTAGCAATTTCCAGGTGAAAAAGCTCAGAAGTCCTTGCCCACTGTTGTCACGAAGATCAACGAGCTTTTGACGACGCTCCCAACACAGCTCCGCACCTACACACCGACATGGTCAGCAGAGCTTCTGGGTCGCGGACTGGTGCAGGATTTCCTGAAGGTTGATGTCAAGAGACGCCTTTGCTTCGGAGAGCAAGTGGAGCGTCACTTGCGTGTGGCGACTGTGATGTCAGAGCTCCAGGCGGCCGGCGATGATGCGAAAGCGTATGTTCGGCAGGCCGCCCCGTGGAAGGACAAGGCTACCGTGAAGGATGGGCTCATCGCGTTCTTGGACTTGCGTTTCGGTTTGGGTGAGAAGCTGCCTATTCCTGGGATCGAAGAGGCCGCGACCAGCTTGCAGAAAAAGCTGGAGGAAACCATGAAGGTGCTCGCGCGCGATGTGGCGGGGCAGAAGGACAAGGCAAAGCCGGTCTGGAAAGTCATCAAGGCTTTCAAGGACAAGGATGCAGAGCCCGCGGTCATCTCGGGAGGGTTGAAGCAGCTCGAGGAAGACAACAGCGCTCTCGAATCTTGCGTGGAAGGCTGGTTTGATTGAGCGGTGTCGGTATCGTGTGTCTGTATAGGCGGCTGTAGGCTATTAGGCTATATGGCTATATATAGGCTATAGGCTGTAGGCTGTAGGCTATAGGCTATAGGCTATAGGCTATCTATAGGCGCCCAAGGCTGTATTGGGCTTTTAGCAAAATGCCGGGAGGGGGATGGGCTGGGGTGAGCGGGAGGAGGTACTCTACTACTTACTCTTTGCTTACTACTTCTTAGTTACTACTTACTTTTACTGTAACTATCCCTAAAGCCTAAAACCTAAACCCTAAACCCTAACACCCAAGACAAATAGACACAGTAGACACATGATACATTACTAGACTACTAAACTACTAGATGACTCGGAATACTAATTAATCACGTTACATTGCGTGCAGGCCTGCCGGAGTGGCGAGATAACACAAGCGTGATGGACTTGATCATGGAGTGGAAGGATGATTTGAAGCCATTGGGCCTTGCGTGCCTGGGTTTGGACTCTTTGATTGAGGTCGCCACCGCTGAGCCTGGGTGCCAGGAGTTTGCCGTGGGTGTGTGGAGTTCAATGTGCCAGCAGCTTCTCGCTCGCACTGTGGAGACGCCTGAGCAAACGAAGGAGGCAGCATCGGACGTGAAAGCCATGGACGCCTTTGCCAAGACCGTGCTGAAGGTGACGAAAAAGGAATTGCCAGCTCACTTAATCCAAGCCCTCGACTCCTTCTCGAAAAAGAAGGCGATCAAGAAGTGAGCGGGCGCAAGGGCCATGGCTCAGGCCATCTGGTATTAGACCATTTTGGCAATACCAGTGATGAATTGAACGTCGTCCAGGGCTCCCTAAGCGGCAAAGTTCAGTAGCAGTTCAGGTCAGCGAGTGTGGTAACGTAAAGAACGAGTTGTGGCATCGTTAGCTGCATCCGCGTGTTGCTGAAATGTGACTGCATACGATTGTAGGATGATGCCTTGGGGTCCCAAGCTTTCGCTGGCCCTGGACGTTTTCTAAGGCATACAATGCCTTTTGTTCCCTTTGATGAACGACCTGCCAAAGGCCATGGCCGTAATGCGTTGCCATATGGGTGACGCTAGCGCAAAGGTGATGATAATCGAACAGCTTCCAAGACGGGGCATGCACCGACATCCCATGCAGGTCTCGCATCGCAGTGTGGTGTTTCGAACTCGGAAATGTGATCCATCGTGAGCACGTCTTGCACTCTACTGGACTCTTCTACTCTACAGCTACAGTAATTAATACTGTAACTACTGTACTATCTACTTGTTTATATACTCCATGCGATTCGATGGCCGGCGACTGCTTTCAACAAACAGCAAAGAGTCACCATGGACGGCTTCTTCGGTGTGCAATGCCCGCGTCGTTCCAAAAGACGTACGCTCTTCAAGAGCGAAGAGGTATGGACCGAGGGAAAAGCGTGAAGCGTATGATGAGCCATGATCCTGAAATGATGCATGGTGAGGTCTTTACTTACCCCCGCTGTAACCGATGTAGTTGCGAGTGCATTCCAGCCCAAGCTGTTTTACTGTAAAACTGATTTCAGGTGTTGAAAGCAGCACCAGTGCCAAATCAATCGAGTGCGTCGTCTTGCCCTAGATCGATGGAGATCATGCGTGCTGTGCGAGCAGAGCACGGCATCGCATCAGATGAGACTGGTTACAGAGACAGATGTGTTGCACAGCATGGGAAACAATGGTTGGAACAATTGAGCTTCAGGGAAGTGCAACAGCTGGAATTGTTGTGGCATATCACGCCAGCGTCCTGTCCGCAAGAATGGGGCAACAATCAGTTAGTCGGCCGTTAGTCGTGTGAGACGGTCGGTCTTGAGGAGTGCGATCGCGAAGCCCTGGTTGTTGACGTCGTCAAAAGCTGGTCACGTCATGCTTGGAGATCGGACGGCCTTTCTCCAACGCAACCTAGCCAATGCATGCTAATGTCAGACAGATGACAGAACGTGCAGCCATACCATGCGCAGCTTGAGGTGTGCATAGTTTTACAGTCCGTCCTACCGTAGTCCTACTGTTGAAATTGAGGTTGACGACGAATTCGAAGATATATTCCTTTGATAAACACCGGCTGCTCAGCCCAGCCGCTTTGATGGCACTGCCGCGGCCTCACAAAGTCTGCGAGTGTTTGTTGCTACAGTTGTCCCGTTTCAATCTTTCCGAGCTTCGTCTTGCAATGCTGTATCTGCGGCCAAGACATGGGTTCAATCTGGCATGGCTGCAACTTGGGAAACCGGTCCGATCTTCTTGTGGCAGAAGTTTAAGCAAGCCCAGATTCTACGCACTTCTGTCAGGCAGCTCGGATGGTTCGTTCAAATCACGAGATGGTAATAAATCCTTCAATCCTAGACCAAACCCGGAACCCTAAACACAACAGACAACAGACAATCTCAGGCAATGCCATGTCTGTGCCCGTGGTGGGGGCATGCCTCGCTGCCGCTTTGAAGCTGCACTGGTGCTGTTGTATTATCTCAAGCTGAACGCATGATGTTCGGTTTACATAGGCGGCGCGATTCCAAACAACCTTGGCTTGAGGTGCTTCTCTCCACCAACATCCATGCCGATGTGCGTGCAGAAATCTTGCGCAGAGGGCATGCACTGAGGGCTGGCAATGCAGATCCTCTTGATGACTCGGTTAGATGCGGGTCTGATTGTAAAGATGAAGATGATGAGTCGGAATGCGAACCAACGAGCGTTTCGACGTGATGTGAGAGAGTAGTGCAAAGCAGGAAAAGATTTTCTTGTGTGTCGTGTCGATTAATGCCTGCAGGACTTGAGCCAGGCGCATTGAAGTTCCCACGTCCCACCTGCGCCACTCCGTCTCCCGCACCGATTCCCACACCAGCCTTAAAATCCAACTCACATCACTGACTCGTCACTGACCTCCACACACCACTGCACGCGTCAATCCCGCACCAGCTACCGCACCAACCCCCGCACCAGCTCCCGCACCTACGGTGTGCATCCGGAAGCCGGGTGTTTTAAGCATACTAGGCCCCCTGCAACTTATACGGCTTTAGGGTGTTTTGGCATCGCTTTGCGTTTTGCTATTGCTGTTGGGTGTTTAGGATTCGGCGGTTTGGGGGCTTTATGGCTCCAGGGTTTGCTTTAATCATATGGTTAAAAGGGGCTCTATATAAGGGCTACTGAAATATAAGGGATCTATAAGGGTTACTATAAGAGATCTACAAGTATGCTGCGGAGGATTGCTCAGGGCTCGCCTTATAGGATTTCTGAAGCTCGGCTTGCGGGCTTGCGAGGGAGAGAATCTTGCATTACACGAAGTACCAAAGTACCACAGACGGCGCGAATTAGGGCTGTCAGTCAACGGCAGTTGCTTGAAAGCTTGACCTGGGCGTTTTGCTGTGTTTTTGTCAGCAAGATTCCCTTCAACCCTTCAGAACCCAAGACCCTAAACCGAAACTCTGCTTGCCCGAAAAAGTTGGCACTGAAATCAAGCTCCAGAGGATGTCCCTGAAGTCGGAAACCCTTAATCCTAAACTGAGCGTATGCCTCATGCTCGAAGCCATGAATCAAACAGGTTTCTCAGTTTTTCTACAACCTGTACGTCGGTTAGGGCAAATCCGGAACATGCGAAAGATTTACTGTAGATAAGGTAACCCTACGCAGACCCTGAACTGTAGTAACAGGACCCTCCAAGAAGTGCATCTACTGCTACTGCTTCGACACCGATACCCCTACAAAGCTGAAGAGCGCTGAGCCTTTTCAACTTGCTTTCCTTATCGATGAGATAAATGAACTACCATTTAGGGATTCATAGTGTAAGGGTAGAGGGCCCCTCTATTGGTGCCTCAAGTTGTATTCTAGATTGGCCAGGCTGCTTCCGAACCGCCAGCTCGAACTCCTCAGCAGACCTTTTGGGTTCGGGGGTGTCGGGTTTTGCCCAGGCTTGCTCAGCAATGGTCTTAGGGTTTAGGGTCTACGGTTGAGGGCTCTGTGCAAGAACGACAGCATGACAGTTCTGCATTCTCTTTCTGCCTCCTGCAATTGTGGATTGGGGAAGTCAGCGTTTCAACTGTAGTGCTTCAGATGCTTCCGATGTAGGGTGTATACAGGACCGACCAGGACATACCCACTTGTAAGGACGCTTGAGAAAGCTTGGAGTCAGGGCTTGGCTGCGGGGTTTAGGGTTTTGGGTTAAGCTTGGGTTCTACGTGGCTAAAGATAAGGTTCTATGGGATCTTTCAGGCTGTACACCAGACGTACATTAGCTTCTTTCATGCGGGTTTTCACGTTTGGGGTAAGAGCCTATGAGGGGTCTTGCAGGGTCAGGGACAGCTCGAAGGCTCGCAGGAATTCGCAAGTGTGGTGGTAAGTACTTGAATGGGGTGTTAAGGATACCGGGAAGAGTACATGACACTTGCAGCCAATAAGATCTGCACAAAGCCAAATAAGACAAAGATTGAATCCCTCAGAGTGACATGCAATGTAAGAGCCCCCGCCACCTAAGACTGGGTTGGTATTGGAGAGTATCGGAGACATGAAACACCTATCAAACAAGATAGAGCCCACACGAACCCTGTCCAACCCCTGTACAATGCAACATTGCATGACCATCCTGTACATAAACAAAGGCTGTGCCATACAACTTTGGGAGGCTTCGCTTTAACAGCTTGAAAAGATGTTGGCCTCAATAATTCGAAAAGGGTTACAGGGTATATTAATTGACTATAGTAAGTAAAGTAATCCTCGACAATTTGAACATGGATTGAGGATGTTTAGTGCTGCGATTCCCTATACTTTACCTTTAGAACATGAGGATGGTCATGTTCCAACTTCGGGGGTTGTAATTTGTACAAAGTAACCCCATTAGCACCACATTTCGCGGGTTACAACAATGAACTACCCAGAGCTACTAGCCTCTGGGTAGTGAGGTTCTTAGGACCCGTGCCCACATATGCCCTGCCTTAGATGATGCGTCGCATATCTTGGGGCTCTTGACTTCGAATGCCCGATACAAAGGCCTTTCCATGCAGAACTCGTGCTTCCCTAAGGGTCCCATTGTTGGTACCTTCGCCCTAAAGTACCGATATGGGCGACTTTAAGCCCAAAGTGTACACTAGATGTGTACATGCAGCTTAGTTCTTCGCAGCGAAACCTATAACTGAAAGCGTCGAAAACTGCCTCCAGGCCCACGTCAACCCGACATCCAACCCCTAAACCCTCAACCCAACCTTTCGCTGCCCAAAGCCCAATACTCCTTAATAAAGGTGTATATATATATATATATATATATATATACATTTATATATATATATATATATATATATTAAAGCATAAGGAGTTTAATCATGAGTTTAATGTTATGATTTAAGGTATATTCCCAAATTAAAGGGTGTTGGGCTCTGTGGGTGAGAGCGGCAGTGCGAAGTTGCCGTCAATGTCGAGACTGCGGAAGTCCTCGTAGCCTTGTGTTGGTCTTTCAGGGAGGGTTTCACATGTACAGAGTAGACCTGGCCCACACCCTAAACTTAAACCCTAAACCCTTTTCAGCATGGGCTTAGACCCTTTTCCCTTTTTTAAATTTTACACCTGGACTACGCAAATCCTTTTCCCTAAACCCTCGACCTGACCCTACACCCAACATTCTAGGCTGCCCCCAACTTCTTCAGAAGTCAGTAAAGCTCGTCACAATTTCGTGCTGCCACGGAAAAGGGGTGTGATTTTCTAGATTAAAAAATGTTTCTCACTTTCACCGAGTTTAGGGTTTGGGGTGCGCTGCCCGGCGTTCTTTTTTGCACCGTCGCTGTTTGTTTCAGTGCTGCTTTCGCAGCATCTTTTGCAAGCATCCGCAACAACCCCCCATTAGTACAGCGACACTGTGGCGCTATCAGCATTACCACTTACTTCTCCAAATATCTGTACAAATCGTCGCTCAAACTTTCAGAACCGTACCAAACAACAAACGCAACAACAAGTCTCAAGTATTGGTATTAAGACGCCTATAAAGGTCAACTCAATGCGGCTCGTGTCGAGTTTCGAGCCGTAAATGTCAGAGTACCGGAAATACATTCAAAAAGCAACCTACAAGTTTCGCTCCTTAACATCCCAGATTCTTCAACCAAAAACTGTCGACTCAGGGCTTAGGATGAAGACGAAGTCAGAATTTCTTGCATGAGTGATCTCCTTGACGAAGCCCAACATGTCGCGACGATCCCATATAAACCCCCGGTGTAATGAAGCCCATTAAAGTAGGGACATCCCTATAAAATGTCCCTCGTGGGTCCCTAAAACATAGGAGTTTCCGAAACGAGGGGACTCTAATATAGTACCCCAAATAGTAGGATCCTTATCATAAGGATCCCAAAATAAGGTGCCCCTAATCTTTGGAAACTCCCTAAACCCCTATCGAGCCCTCTAAGGGAACCCTTATAGCATCCCCAAAAGTAACCCCTTTAAAGGAACCCGTAGAGAACCCCACATGTCGTGACGAGGCGCAAGCTTTCACCTCGCTGATGGGAAGCAGAAAAGCCTCAGAGAGCTGCTTGCAAAGGGCCTCGGCTGAAGTTTGGGATTTAGGGTTTACAGTAGCCGCCGGAAAGTTGGAAGGCGGCAATTGGAACGGTTGATGCGGCAACGGCATCTTCCAACTTTGGGTTTGACTTGGTCCCATCTTCCAACTTTAGGTCCCCGCGTTTGGACCGGTTGATGCGGTAACGGTATCTTCCAACTTTCGGTTTGTGGAAGCAGCTCCAGTAATGCAGAGAGAGAAACCGCAATTACTTCGACCGTTCCAGTAGTGCTGAGGGAGGGAAACAGCAATTACTACGACCACTCCAATATTGCAGACAGGGAGAGGGAAACTGCAAGTACTACGACCGCTCCAGTATTGCAGAAAGAGAGAACCTGCAATTACTACGACCGCTCCACTATTGCAGAGAGAGAGAGAGTGAGAGAGAAAAACTGCAAGTATTACGACCACTGCAGTATTGCAAACAGAGAAAAGCTGCAAATACTACGACCGCTCCAGTATTCCACAAACAGAGAAAAACTGCAAATACTACGACCACTCCAATAATGCAGAGAGAGAGAAAACTGCAATTCCTAGGACCGCTGCAGTGTTGCACAATTACTTAGACCGCTCCAATATCGCAAAAAGAGAGAAGCTGCAAATCCATGGCCGCTCCCGTATTGCAGAGGGAGAAGAACTGCAACTACTCCAGTATTGTAGAGAGAGACGGAGAAACTGCAATGACATATTGGGTCTGCTTGGTCCCATCTTCCAACTTTAGGTCCCGGCATTTGGAGCGGTTCATGCGGTAATCAAAAGTTGGAAGGATGCAAACTTGGAAGAATCCAAAGTTGGAAGATGTGTTATATTCCAATTGTGGGGTGCTGAAACTTTGGGGGCGCATCTTCCAACTTTGCGGCTGCCACCATAGGGTTTAGGGGTTAGGGCAGTGAAGGTAAGGGGCCTCATTAATTAGAATTCGGGGGGGGGGGGGTTCCTTTAAAAGCGCCTAAAACAGTTACTTAAAGGGCACTATAATACAATAGAATGTAGGGGCCTTAATAATTGGAATTGGGGGCTTCCTTTAAAAGCGTTTATAGGGTTACGACAACGGTACTGTAATATAGCGGCCTCAATAACTATCATATAATGTAGGAGCCTTAATAATTAGAATGGGGCTCCTTTACAAGGGCCTATAAGGGCTACTAGAAGGGTACTATTATATAGGGGCCTGAATGATTAGAATAGGGTTTGGGGGTATAATATACGATCATACTACCAAGGTTCTGCCAAGGAACCCCCAAAACCCGATTGAAATTAATTATTAAAGCCCCCGCGTTAGGGCCTAAGATAGGACGGGCCTTGGTAACTAGAATGGGGCTTTTCGGCTATAGTCTACTACATATGCAAGAACCCTAAGGAATACTGAGGTAGGTACACTACGGTAAAGGTGACGGTGTTCAGGGTATGCAGTATAGTACATGTCTAGTATAGATGATAATGAAGCGTAGGTGTATAAGCTTGGGTTTCGGATGGGCTAAGGCTATGCGGCTACAAAGGCCTTCGGGGTATGTGGGGCTTAGTGCGTGGAGTGGTGGTCGCAACAGCTGCAGTAGATTCCACAAAGACGGGCTTGGAATTACTTACGAATGTGACCTTGATAGGAGGATTGCCCTTAGATTATCTCCTCCTATATATCTTCTCTTGTTTGCTCATACGCCCGCCGTGCACCAGAAGACCAATGCACCCAAAGCCGGAAAACTATCAACCCTTTTCCTGCACTCGCAGAGCTGCAGCTCTCTATTGCCTCGTGGCTTCCGCAGAATGCGGCCCTGCCAAGAAGACGGGAACCCATAACCAGCAATTCTATGCCTCCACAGCCGGAACCACGACCTCGAAGCCTCAAACGGACCGTGATACAACCACAAGAACCCTTTTTTCAGCAGGCCTCGTTTTTCCAAGCAGCCCGGGAAACCCTAAACCCCCTAGGCCCTAAGACCCTCGACCCTCGGATCCACACTCAACCCCGAGCTTTCGAGATTTTCGCAGATTAGTACCAAAACCAGTTCCTAGACTTTTACCCTCCACCTCCAAGCACAGCCCCAACAAAACCTACATCCAATCAAAGAGAGACCGTCAATTTCTACATGCTTCTTCATCATATGATGGGTTCATGAATCCCCGTGAAGGCATCCGCGGCGACTGAAAAAGGGATTTCATCACGCATTCACTCCAAAATGCCTCAGACGGCTGCAGCGCGTAATCATCAACTATTACTATAACCCAGGCCCTGAAAAGTCGCAACACTGCCGGTTCCTTTTTCTAAAGCTATGGGCAGATGTAGAAAGCTAGAATAATTTCAAGTTCCAGCATTTTTCGAGGAAAAACTAAACCATAACACTAACACCCCAAACAACCTGCATCCTCGACCTAATTTGTATGACATACTCAGGAGAGATTATTGCTACCACTTCAAGGCCCTGTTTTACGACCTGCTCGACCCCATGAACCCTAACCCTGAACCCTAAACCCTCGCCCTGAACCCTCGATAACCACAGCGAGCCCCTCGCATAGACCTCGGCGATGGTTTGGGGTCCCTCCAGCACGGGCGGGTCGCCTGGCAAAGGCACAGAAACTGGCTGCAAGCCGTTGTGTAGTACAGGGGCCGTAACAGCTAGCAATGGTAGGGTAGATTTGTAGTATAACTGCTACATGAAGGGACTCAAGTGAGGGCAACATCTGGGCCTTAATAAGAGGAGCAGGGCATTGGGCATATGTTGAAAACCTATATAAGTGTCTCCAGGGATCCCTAAGGAAAAAATAATGATAATTGTCAAGGCCCCGAAAATCCTCCAACCCCCCCCTCACACTACACCCTAAGCTCTAAATGCTAAACGCCATAGATATCTTTCTTGCCAGCCTGTTTTTTTCCTGCTCGGAAGCTAACTCGGTGAAGACCCCGAATATTAGGGCTAGGGGCCTGAACAAACAATTTCGGATACATACGAAGACTATTGTTGTGTAGAGCTTCTTCATTGATACCAGTGATTAAAGAATAGTACGACGTAAGCAAGTCATAGCACAACTTTCCCGAAATCCTAATTCTAATTGTCAAAGCCCCTACTTAAAACCCAAAGCGAAGAACTCGAAGATCACCAAACGATCCAAACCCCGAAAGCATCCGATGCTGTCAAAAGCGGTCGCCCTCCGAGGCTGGGAAAAACGTGAGCGAAACCCAAAACCCAAAACCCCAAACTCGTGGCCTCCCTTGTCGCCAGATGCTTCCTGACCGTCCATGTTCCGGATGAAAGCTTTTGAGGGTTAGGGTGTTTACGGTTCAAGGTCTTTACCACTCGCAACTCGGACTCGAGGCGAGGGTTAACATTGGGTTGCGTGCCTACTCGAGAGTGCATGGGTAGATATGGGTAGACTTGCGATTGCAAGAACTTGGTTGTAGGTAGATTTAGCTAGAGTTCCCATGTTCATGACCCTGCTTAGTATGGGGGCGAACTTGTTGCACAAAGGAAGGACTTGCGACGACCTCTTGGCGGGATCAGGGTTCTTTTGCGTCTAGAAATTAGGGTTTGGAGTTGGGTTTGTAGGGTTACTGTACAGGTCTACATATTCGTCGCCCTATGCCCCAACACTATGAATCTTTTTCACAGTTGAATCAGACACCCATCTAGAGTGCGTGTGGTCCCTGAGGTAAGGGTGCTACAAGGGCTCCCTTAAAGGGCTCTTCATTGTTAGGTTCCCTAGATAGTACGGCACCCCTCTTTGAAAACAAAAATCCGAAAAGGGATCCTAGAGGTCCTGGAGAACTACCCGAATAATGTCTCACGAAGATCGTTCGGAAGACTCAAATCAAACCCCAACCCAACCCGAAAGCCCCAAAACGCATAACGAACACTCTCATAACCCTTTTGCACAGACACTTGTATATGCCCGCCTGGATGTCGGATGTCGGAGCCATAACCCTAACACCTAAACGCTGAACCCCATAAACTTCGAACACTCACAACTGTGACCCCGAGCCTGCTCCTCGGTCCGAACAGCAGTCTTCTTGATGAGCTCCTAGAGTTTACGCTCTCGCAACTCGGTCCAGCCAGACGAGGTCTCGGGTGCTCAGAGTACTTTGACGGGGGTCGGCAGAGGGTGTAGAGCTTTATTTAGGGTCGAGGGGCGTTTTTTGCCATTCAACACTCGGACACACCTGGCAAGGCCTGCTGAGAATTCGAAAAGGAACAAACGCCCGTCGAACTACGCAGCTACGACCCACACCCCCTACTTGGTCCAGGGTTTAATGGTTTAGGGCTTAAGTGTTTCAGGATTCAGGGCTTCAGGGTTTCGGGCTTACTAGTTCATTGTTGGGATAGAATTGAAAATACACATTTTATTCCTCATTGGGTTTAAATACCATTAAAAAGTAAAATGTTACCCAACGATGACAAAGCTTAAGGGTTCTGCCTCCTCAAGGTTCGGAAGCGCTGAAATCTTGCGGACTCGGGCTGAGAGTCTCGTCCATGGTAAGGTCTTGAGGGTTTAGGGTTTAGGGTAGGGTTTTGGGTTTAGGGTTTAGGCCCGATTTTAAGGGCAGGGACTGCAAGGCCCTAGGCCCTGAAGCCCTTCAGCCAAGCCTCAAAAAACAAGCCTAAAACCATGTAAAACCTAAACCTTACACGCTTCTGCTTCTGGGTTCCAAGATCGAATTGACAGGGTAGTGGCGAGGTTTCAGGAGCCGTCAAAGCAACAGCTACCCATCGAGTGCAGGCCTTGGGGTGGGGGGTGGGGAGTAACCTTGGGCGCCGGGATCCTAGCCAAGGCCATGAAGACCAGATTGCACGAAACATCAAAGACTCTAAGTTTGATCTTAAGACTTGCTTCTCCCATCGGCTTTGGCTCAAGATCGCAATGCAGCAAAAGGTTTTAGAGGTTACCTTGACCGAGGAACCAAGCAGTATCGAACGACGATAGAACAGAAACGCTTCTTCATAATCACGGGATCCTTACATTCCCTGAACCCTGTACTAAACACCTAAGCCCCAAGCCTCATTTGTTAGACTCAGCCGCACCGCCCAAGATGCTGTTGTCATCTACAGCCCCGAGCCTACACCCGGAACTCAACGACGTAAACACTAAACCCTGCACCCAGATCTGAATCTTGAGCCCGAAATCTTAGATCCGAAACGTCAATCCTCACTTGCCGACGGTTTTGAATAAACAGCATAGGGTTTTGGTACACTTGAAAATTATCATCAGGAACCCCAAAAAAACAACATAAGCCCTATAAACCCAAAACCAATTTCGAACGAGGTGTCTCTGAAGTGCCTCCGGTTTGCCCTCCCCATCGATTGAGAGCCCAAACACTCAAAGTAGAAGCCTGAAAGTTGGAAGTTGGAACATCATTGTCCTGGTACCCTGAAGGTAAATTTTAAAGCACAAGGGATCCTAGCACTAATCATCCTCAATCCATGTTCCAACTTTTTGGGAGTTTACTGTAGTTACTATAGCAGCCTATTCTACCCCGAAACCCTAATCTTTTCAACCTGTTTCCAACTTTCTGCGCTTCGCTGTAAAGCCCGGAACCTCCCCGAAACGGGGCGAAACCACACCCCAAGGGTCCAAAGGACCCAATGATTAGGTACTTGGTTTTAGGATAGTAGTTATGTAGGTTAGGATTTGGAGGGTGTATTATGATTATTGGGTACCTGGACCCTTGGGGACAGTCCCGCCTGGAGCTCCAACTCGGCAACCGCATCCGCTTGGCGCCGCCGTCTCGGCGAAATCCGCATGCAGTTCTTAAAGTTCGAGGGGTTTGGGGTTTAGGGTGTTCTTCAAGTTAAAGGGGTTTAGGGTTTGAGGTGTTCTTAAAGTTAAAGGGGTTTGGGGTTTAGGGCGTTGCTAAAGTTAAAGGGGTTTAGGTTCAGAGGTGCTATCAGGGCTTCCGGGCAATCTCTCCAGATTCCGGGTAGCGCTTTTCGGGGGCCTGTACAACAAATATCATTCTGTCTACCCAAAGGCCCCAAAGTAGTTCCTTTTTGCGGCTCGTATATAGAATCTTATAAGGTAATCCCAACAAGATCCGCCATCTTCCGAAACTAAAACAAAAAGATCGAAAGATGCTTCAGGAACAACGGAAGGACCTGACAATAGGGCCGATAGTAAGGGAATCAATGGCATCATCGACAGCAGTGCTAAACCCTAAACCCTAGACCCCAAAGCCCTAATTCCTAAACCACAACATACTAAGCTCTGAATATGGAACCTTTTGCATCCAGGCCTCCTGCGAATACTGAACCTAAAATCCCTGAGCCCTATAAAACCCTAAACCCTAAACCGGCCGTAAACCCTCATATATAAAGCGAAAGAACTCTCTGTAGGCAGCAGCGGATTCGGCGAGTGCACAAGGCCGCGGCTTGCTCTCCTCCTGCTGCAGCGCTGCTTTGCTACTTGAGGGTTCCTTCAAGGGATCATATGGGAGTTTCCGAAAATGGGGGATCCTAATATAGTTCCCTAAATAGTAGGTTCCTGACTATAAGGACCCCAAAATCCCTAATTTCGCAAACTCCCATATTAGGGTTCTATAGGAGATCTGTAATAAGGTTCAGAGTTTATGGCTTTAGGGGTTTTAGGGCTTAGGGTCTCAGGGTGCTTTGAAGGCCTTAGGGCTTTCCGGGCTTGGGGTTTTCTGGGGGTTTTCAGGGCTTACGTAGGTTTAGGGCCGGGTTTCGGATGTTTTGATTCGCTTTTTTCTTGCCTGTGATGCAAGGTTTCGGGTTGAATATGTTTCTCTGTTTCTCTCCTCCAGTTTGTGACAGCTTGCTCGGGTTTTGTCGGATCTGAGGTTTGGCTTCTCTTTAGGGGCTGAAAATTCGCAAACAAATCTAACAGTTCGGGCCGCAGCCCTGGACCCTGAGCTGTTTATCCCGACACTTTCAGGAGTCAGCAAATCCTATTATAGACCGCCTAACACCAACACAAAGCACCTCGTGTTGCTTTGAAGAGAAAGCACGTCTGGGTCCTTTCTGATGCTGTTTCGGCCGTTCCACCCTGAAGCTTCAGCCTGTTGCTGCGGGTTTGAGAGATGCGTGCTGCCTGGCTGTTACCGAAACCAGGAAACCGAATGAATGACATGCAAACGAGCCCTCAACAAAATCGGCCAAGTGGGGCCAACCCCTGCATTCATGCACTCATTCCCTCCTGCAGGGAACCCAGACTGGCCCAGTTCGCAACTTCTTGGCTAGGAATGGGATTCATCGCTAGCCTAAGAAACGCATAGGCCCCATAGTAGTTCATTTTTGGGGCTCATGTTTAGAATCCTACAATATATGGTATTCCTAAAAAGGAACTACTTTGGGCCCTATGGGAAGGCACTCTGCATCCAGTGCTGGCTCCCATCCTCCACAGGAGCTTCGCTGCATGTGACAAGTGACCTTAGATTCCGGTTTAGGGTTTTGGGTTTAGGGTTTAGGGTTTAGGGTTTTGGGTTTAGGGTTTAGGGTTTAGGGTTTAGGGTGGCTTGCAGATGAATGTTCGAGTCCGGATACTGTAATGGCTGGAGGTCTGGATAATGAGTATAAGCACTATGAAACTATGTAAATTTGCCATGCCAAAGTAGAAACATCAAAATTACTTAAAATATGCCCGGAAGGGGTTGGGTGGGCACCATGCTGATAGCTTTTGGTTTGTCGGTGAAGTACAGCAGGCAGCTCGCGAGTTTTGGAAGGGTCGCTGGGAGCAGCTTGCTAGCATAGTAAAAGTATACATAGGATCCCCTATAATCCCGCCAACATCCCCAAAGACCCATCTGCGCGAGGCATCGAATGAGAGAGGAGAAGCAACTGTCTCGACTGAGCCGCTCTGCCTACATCCGAACTGAACGGGCAAAGGTTTAGTAGTGACGGATGTAGGATTCGCAATCATCAGGATTAGGCAACAGGCTCCTATGCCTTCATTAAAGTTTTAAGTTTTAAGGTTGAATATAGTGGCGTTGATAGTGTGAATGCGGCTTCGGGGAGCACTCTGGTGTAGTTGCGTAGGACCCAAGAAGGATACCACCCCTGCTTACTGAAAACCTAGAGTAGCTTTCCCCCTAAACCGTAGCCCGTCATAGCTCTTAGTAGTGAGTCGCAAACTAAACCCTCAACCAAGCAGCATCTTCATCAGTCTATAAACCCTGAAACCTACAGCCGTCCGAGTGAAGAGCTTCCGAGGTTTAGGTTCTGGACTTCAGGGTCGCACAGGCATGTCGCTACGAGCTCTAAGAATGCCCTACTCGTCCAGTAACCTAGGGGAACTAAAGGTTCACCTTTGGCACTAAAATATAGGAGCCTTCATAATTACTTGCACTATTTTGGGGGGCTCCATATTATAATTATGGTGTAATGTACCCCAAAACCCTATTCTAGTTCTTGAGGCCCTTGTATTATAGGGTTTTAATAGCCAAAAAAATGAGGTTACCTACCCTACTAGTGAGATGCTCTGTGGAGGAGGCGATGGGATGACCAAGCTTTGCGGGCGCCCTCTCCAAAGCCTCCGCTGAAAGCAGTTGCAACCTTTTCTTCGTTCTGCGCGGTGGAACATGTTTAGGTCGGCCGATGGCTTTGACAGCCGGGATGGGATTGCGCGATCCTCGCTTACATAGCGTTTAAGGCTTAGGGTAAGTTCACGCAAACACCTAGACGTATATCCTGGCCGCCTCCAGGAGGGAGACTCCTGTTTCTAATTGTGGGGGAGACTCCTGTTTCTAATTGTGGGGAGCAGTGCGCGTTCGCACTGCTGCCACAGCAGTTTGAAATGCTTCAGTTAGCTCGATATAGCTGCACTGAATCTGCACCGACTGCTCGAGAAGCACCTCCCAAACCTGAAGAGTGTAGGCATAAGCCAAGTGACGCTAATTAACCTTAAACCTTATCCTCAAAGCCTAACACCTGAACACCGCTTTATTTAGGATTGAGATCCCGGACCCAGCTTTCTCGGTTGTCGTGTGCTCGGGTAGCAAGGCGGCAAACGATCAAAGATCTTTCAAAGGTGGATGGCACGGCAGAGAACTGAACTGCCAGTCTGCTCCTTCGGGCAGTTCCGTTTATGTGATCTATGTACAACCTTATATTTTCTATGTCATGATCCGAAGCAGCATGCTTCGATACGACTGTACTCCATTTGTGACGTCCGAAGCAAGGAATCGCGAGCAGGAGGGCCAGCCAGCCAGTAAACTTGGTCCAACATCCTACAAAACCAACATGGATTCTGGCATTTCTCATGTTCGTGTTCTCCAGTGGGGGATATGCCACGTCGACACCTGTGGTTGAACCAGGATTTCACTTAAGAAGCCTATCCCACCACAAGCTAATCTAACAAACCCAGCGAGGGTCAACTATTAAGTTTAAGGTTTGAGCGCACCCAGCCATGCTGCGACCGATACAGCAAATCTCCCGACAACGATTTTTCTCGACAGCGAAGAAAACCAGGCTGAACCATAACTCGTCTTGTTAGGTCGATGTGTCTGCTATGCATACAGGCCGGCTAACTTGACGTGTCTGCCCGGCAATGGTCTTGTTCACGTGGCATGTCGGCCATGATGGCTATGACGTTCTATTATGGTACTTCCCCACCGCAACCAGCACAACTATTGGCTTCGACCACTACCACCACCACCACCACCACCACCACCACCACCACCACCACCACCACCACCACCACCACCACCACCACCACCACCACCACCACCACCACGACCACGACGACCACGACGACCACGACGACCACGACGACCACGACGACCACGACGACGACGACGACGACGACGACTACTACTACTACTACTACTACTATGACGACGACGATGATGAGGCCGACGGCTAAATCTACGGCTGCCACAGTCATTACGACCACTAGGACTACGACGACAATGACGATACCAATACTACTGTTACCACCACCAAGAACTTCGACGCAAGGACAAGTACTTTCCAGAAAAGGCTTAAAGTTACCGACTGATATGATCCTGGTCCAACAAAAGTGCTGGGGCTTAGGGCTTGGGTTTGAAGTGTGGGCTCTGGGCGTCAAGGTGTTGTGAAAAGCAAAGACTTTCCCGAAGGCAGCTGCAGGACAGAAGCTCTGCCGCGAAAGACACGAAGGCTTCCCAACAAAGACGTGGTTGAAGTGTAGGCTGTCGTTGTTCAGACGTACGGTTTAGGGGTCTGCAATGCCGTGCTTGAGGTCGTCTGTTCTCTAGATGCCAAGCCCCCCAAACGCCTTAAGCCAGCGAACACAACTCCGCACTTTCAAAAACAACCACATGGCTTGAGTCTTGGGAGAGTCAATTCAGGAACCCTTCTCCTCAGGGGCAGAACAAACTTCCGGCACCCCCGGTTGACTTCGACGTGCGATGTGCAGCATCAGGACATCAGCTGCAGGTGTTCCTGGGCGACGGGCAGGTCGCGCCACAAGTGGTTTGCAAAAAAAGCCCGGTATGTATGTATACATACAAAGATGTCCACCTTTGCGTGTAGAGACGAGATGAGGTAAGGACAGCAAATATGTCAACTACCTACATAGGTACTCCGGAGCGTCTAGAGGATGGTCGTGGTGTGTACATGTGTGTATATATATATGCACATATAGACAGACAGACGGACAGACAGATGGATCGATAGATCGACAGATTGATAGGTCAATAGATAGATAGACAGACAGATAGATAAATAATGATAGACAGTTATATAGATGTATAGATAGATCTTGTATCATACGGTAATCCAGGAAATGGCTTTAAGATACATGTTGTTTCGAGGTGTTGTTGCTACCACCCTCTTCACATCAGGTTTGACGCACAAAACTCCGTTCATAGTCTTCTATTCACTACATATTCATCATTAAAGAAAGTTTTTCATTGCGGTCTGCATGTGTGGTCGCTCCCTTTTGACAAATACGCTTGAAACAAGAGTTTGTTGGGGAACTAAACTCCTGGGCCTAAAGACAGGGCATCAGCAGTTAGAGTAGGTTTGGGGGTGCTCTTAGAGGGAACCCTACGGCATCGTATTCAGTCTTCGACCCCGATATTTATGGCAGACAAGGTGCCTCCGTCTTAATCCGCCTTGCACTCCTGTCGGGGTGCGCCCCACGACTGCCAAAGCCACACCTGGCACGCAGTTCTCCAGTTTCATAGTGTAGGGTTTAGGATTTAGATTTGAAGGTTTCGGGCGTCATGCGGGGATTTCGGGATGCTTATACTTATACGGACCCCCTTCCCCCCAAAAAAATGTATAGGAATAAGTATGAAGGCCCCTAATAGTACCATGGACCCTCTGTTTTAGGGCCCTGTTCGGGTTCAGGGCCTAAGGTTTAGGGTGTTTGGAGCGTTGAACATGAGCCCTAAAATTTAATGTTCCTAAGGGAAGCGGGTTGATGAAACAGGGGTCTTCTTCATGTTAGATCCGGCTGCAAACATTAATGTTAACCAAACAACTGTTGCAATAATTTGTATCCTCCCGAAGGTTAAGAAACTTTACCTGCTCAGCACTGAGGTCAATTTTCGAGGCTTCTTGATGCCTTGTCCGTGTGGTCCCTATTTTGAACGGAGTTGTTTTGAGTGTTGTCTTGACAGTCTGGGTTTGGGGTATTAAGAGGGTTACTACACGGGCCCCCTGTTACGGTTCTAGGTAATATGCTTGCTTGTGTATACACACATGTATATATGTATAGATATTTTCACACATATACATAAACATTCCGACAAGAAGCCAAAGGCCATGGGTGTCGGGGATCGTCGACGGCAGTACCCTCTCCTTGGTGTGGCACACTAGCTTGAGGCGTTGCTGCAGTTAATATCGGGTTCTGAAATATCATACACCCAAGGCCGTCAATCTCTAGACTTGGGTGTGGCGAAGTATAAGTCCACTCAGAGGTTGAGGGTCATTCCGAAAGGCCCTAACACCCCAAAATTCTGAATCCATAAGCCTTAAAACACCCAACCCTAAGCACTAACACCTAAACTTAAATCCCTGAACCCCCAAAAGCAACGACCCTTTTGCTGCAGGCTTGCACGCAAGGACGCCTACCTTAGAAGCTGCCCCCACCCTGTAATAGTGACCATAAGGCTTATATTAATAATATATTAGGGCCCTATTATATTCCTATTATACCACTATTACAGGGTGGGGGCAGCTTCTAACGCCTACCCCTAAAACCTGAACCCAGAGCCCCTGAACCCGACACAAAAATCCTAACTCCCCGAACCAGAAACCACAAACCCCCAAAAATCCCCAAACCCTAAAACAAGCCCTTTTCTTAGCAGGGTTTAGGGTTTAACCCTAAAACAAGCCCTAAACCCCGGAAACCTAAACTTCTAAATCCCTAAATCCCAAAACCCCATCCCAAAACCCCCCTTTTGCAACTGGCTTGCAACGTCACGCTAGGACAGCTGACTCGC